CAATGTGCTCTTTTACACCCATTTACTGAAGTTTGTCCTATCAATACTGTGAAGTCTCCTTGTTCAATATTATTTGTTTTCCTGAGAAAGGAGACCTTTCCTTTGCACCAGCAGATCACTTGGAATAAAGGAACTTGCTCTCAAATTTCCCACTGAAACGTGAGAGAGCTCAGGCCAGCCAGGTGCCTGGGTGTCACTGGTTTTTTCTAAGCCTCCTCACAGATCACTCGACACTTACACTATTGATTTTTATCCATTTCTTTCCATTTTCCTCCACACTCCCCTATAAGACTAACCACAACAGTTGGAGCTACTGTTCTGTAATTGAAGACAGAGGAACAGATCAAACTCTGGGAAGGTGAGAGAAGAGACAGCAGAAATGAAAGCGGTAAATCTCTAATGCTCACATCTCCAGCCAATTAATCCCAGGGCATGTACTTGTTTTGGGAAAGTGAATCAACTGTTGAATGATGACCTCCTGAAGGTTTAAAAGCCAATTTTGTGAAGAAGAGGGAAAAAATAAGAAAAGAATGCCATACAGTATCTAGTGTGACATCTAAGACTTAACTCTGTGGTAGCCACATTTCATCTGCCATCAAAAAGACCTTGCACCTTTCCAGGGTTTTGCTTCTGAAGGCCTGGCAAAGAAAGGAATGGTACACTACTGAAATAAGGTAAATGCAGAATGCACATGAATAGGGAGGGGACCAATGAGCTGTTATTTCAGTCATGTCTGCACCTTTACTTTGGCAAATAAAGACACAGATACAAGACCCATCACAGCTGCCTCTGCATGTCAGACAGGACCGAAACAAGTGAAGAATCAAGTAAGTGGAAAAAAAAACCCCAACATGCTGAGCTAAGCTTTATGGAAATAATATCATCTCTCTGATTCTTGTTGATGCACTCTGAAAAGAAAACTGCTGTCAGCTTGTTGAGAATAAGCAACTAGGACAAATGGCCAGTACTGTTTGTTTATGTTAAACAGATGCCCTCTACCATCACTTCAAAAAGAGGAAGATAATCCTGCCTGTTCAGCCTCCTGTGAACAGTGGTTTAGACACACTGCTGCATTAGTACCTTAAAGTGAGTTGCTATCGCATATCTTCCTTAATTAACACTACTGCACAGATATCCCAAGGTAGGACTACATGGAAACACCTATTAAATGGATATACTCTTACATGTACTTCCAACTAATCAATCACATTTTCCACTAGGAAAATCTTCACATACAACAATCCTGTTTGGGGAAGCTCTGCTCCTAGAAACACTCTCTGAAACCTAAAGCCAGGATGTCAACACACTCCACTTCACCAACTCTCAGCCTCCCCCAAATCAGGTGTAATGCAAGTCACACCAACTTCTGTTAGCACAGGTGCCCCAGCAAAATGCCTCACACAGTTGATAAACCTGCCCTTTTCCTCCTCAGTGTTTGAGCTGGCAAAGTTGAGCTTGAATAATTGAAATCCACACCAGAAATAAGGTGTAGGCCAAGTCTTTGCATCAGTCAAAGCACTTCTGGTACAGTCATGGCCAAGGGGTAATCACAGAATTGTTGCCAACTCACAGCATACTCCAAGCTCAATGGAGCCATTAATTATCTCACAAACAGAGCATTACTTTAGTCATTTTCATCAGGCACATCAAAACAAAAGAAAAATGTGATGCTTCAACAAAACAGGGCAAAGGGGTAGCTAGAGACTGGATCAACAATTTGCTAATCTGGATGATGTATTTAAGGGTTTTTTTCTAGTTTTGACACAGGATCCTACATGCTACGAATGCAAACAGTAATTCATCTAAAAATATATGAGAAAAACTTTGCTCAAGTTTTAAAATCCTGATTTTTCTTAAGCAAAAGACACAAATATTCTAAACTAAAGTCTCTGACCCAGCATGTGAATTTTACAGTGAAATGAGAGCCTGAGGAAGAAAGTCAAGGAAATAACACACAATGGTGGTTCAGTTGAAATAAAAGCTAGTTCAGTGGCTGAACTACACTAACTCCTTCAAAGATTTGCCCATAGCATGGCTTTATAACCACTTATGCACCATCCAAGTACATAAACGAGGTGTCCTGCCTCTTCCTTACTCTGTCTCGGTCCTAGCTTATGATGCTCAAGTTGTGAATTCAGAGGAGAATGCTTTGGGTCTGTAAATAAACCCGTGGGTTTGGTGTGATAGTAACAGCAGAGCACTTGCGACTCAACAACCAAACTTGGAGGCCACCTGGAATCTCGTCACAGCTGTTGTTTACTACAGAACGTGGCAGAAAAGAATCAACTCAGTGGGGAGCTGGGAGCTGAGGACTCAGAGGAAGTGCCAGAGGGGCAGATGGCACCGAGGAGCAGGGGGAGACTTTGGTTTGCAAAAATATGTGTGTGGTTCATCTATTTATTTCAATAATACGTCACCTTTGGGTCCATTTCAATGTCTCATTTCTTTATGATAGTTACCACATTTAGAGATCAAATCCTCTCAGAAAACCATCTCGTGTCACCCCTATAGGCAACGCTCACATCACCTTTGGGCCGTGACATCATCCCTCAGTGGTTCACCGGAAAATAAATCGAACTCTTAACCAACTCTCCTAAAGAAAAAATCTAAATGATGCTTAAGAGTCTGTCATTGTCATATGAAATAACGAGGTCGAGTCAAACTTGCTGCATCTTTCCTCCCCTCTGCTTGACCTCTGTCACCTACCAAAGCTACAGCCATGCCTTCACTCAGTCCCCAAGTCAGCCAAGCACACAACCAGTGTCTGTGTGAGAAACAGAAGCCCTCTGGGTTTTCTCACCACCTGTACCAAACCAGTCAGAGCTGAATCACACGGTATTCTTACCAGAATTTCTGGGGAAGAACTGGTTAATGTCACCTTTCTCTATTTTTCATTTACTACTTATCACTTCATTTAGCCCTTATATTAGTGCAATAAAAAGCAGCTGTCGGGCCAAGCATGCTCAGTCCAAGTGACCTTGTATTCTTGTTTGTGTTTACCACATAATCAGCAGGGAATTCCATTTTCAAAATACAAGGCTTCATAATCCATTAGCACTAGAGATTGGTCCAGGGCTCTGGATTTACTGGTCACATGTACCAAGGAATAAAAATATGAGCGTACAGCCAGATTAATCTCCAGACTTGTAAAGCATCCCCACCCACCGTCCGTGGGTCAGTCTCATTCAAAGTCACAGATGAATATTAGCATAATTCTTAAATACTACTAATGCCCTTCCCACAGTACATGAAGAAAAAATTAAATGCTACCTGCCTGGCAACTCAAAGTATGAAGACACACAATAACTAAACACAACTTATGTTTCATAAGTGGAACATAAATACTGATGTTCCTATTAATACTACAACAACCCATATCTCCCCCAGCTGTTTCTAAAAGGCAGGAATCACTTTCACTGCTCTTAATTTTAAATCAAAAGTCTTTAGCAAGTCCAAGCAGTTTAACTCACCATCAAGTTCAATAAATCAAATAAAAGAATCAATGGAAAGCATTTCAAAAATGTAACCTTGGTAACGTGTAAAATGCTTCCCCAGAACTTACACTCATTTGCTTTATTTGCTGCTTTAGGAAATGAAATATAACACATAGGCAGAAGGACATGAGTATCACAACATTGCATCTCCCAAGCCTAACACTGCATGTGCTCTCCTGGAAGGCACTTTTTGCACTGTGCTTTAAAAATCTGCAGCCTGGCAAGTTAGGTGATTGAAAAATAATCATATTTCACGTTGACAAAATGGAAAATGGAAGTGTTCAATAGGAAAGAATAATTCATATTTATTCTTTATGTCCATGCACAGCATTTTAAACCTAATTTGTTTCACGCTTTTCACTGATAAAATGAGAATAAACTCAATGGTGTTATAACAGCATCTGCCATTTGAAGAATTACATTTATCAGTGTTACCACCCAATTTTAACTGTGGTCTTACACAGCTCTTCTTTATGCAGCACTCAGACTGAAAATGGTGATTACTCTGTGCACCATTATGTGATTTTTGTTGGCAAATACTTATTTTTGAGTTGCAACATAATTATTCAGTATTTATGTAAGTCTACCAGGATAAACAATCTCCGATTCACACTGAGAGAGAAAACTTCAAAATATTTTGCTGTTCATTTCAGTATCCTGTAACTAAGATGTTTACTAGTTCTTATCCCATCCTGATCTGAAAGGCATGCCATTATTCCCACAGCTCATCCAGGCTAAGCAGAAAAACCTTTTCTTTACAATAGTGTCCCTTGGCAGCTGAAGAATGTCAAACAGAGGTGAAACAAAGTAGGATCACTCTCCACACTTTGTATGTCTTCCCAAAATGCCAAGGACAGTCTCATTTTGAGTAACGATTCTGACCTTCTAAAGATTACCACGCTCCAGACTTCTCAGGTTTTCTCCTGCTTGGGTTTTTTGGAGATTTTTTTGAGTGAAAGTGAGCATTTTTTTCTCAGCTTTACTAACTTTTGCTGCTTATCTCCTATGTGAATCAAGGACAACCTTCCAACAGTGGCAGTTGTCTGCTACGATGGCACCCAGCCATAAAACACTGTTCAATTCTACAAGTTAAATAAGCATCAGAAATAAAGTTCTGCTAAGGAAACAAAAATAGGAGCAGTTTTTTTAATCATAGGTTTCAAACCAATAAGGAACATTCACCATCATGATACTAATATAGACTACTTCTGTGGCAAGCACTCACTTTATGGCAGTTTTTTTAGGGTTTTTCTCCAAAGTAGGCATCAAGGGCTTGCATCAAACCATCAACTGTTCCAAGAAGGTAATCAAAAAAGCAGAGTTCAGGGATGAGTCATTTTCCTTTTCAACCCTACCTGAACCCTGTCTGCTGCCACACATGGAAGTCTGCCCAAACTGAAAACAGTGTCCCCCCAGAGCCGTGCACACCACCACAGAAAGGCTCCTCAAAAATAAAGATGGAATTCAACTCTGTGTAGTCCACCAGGCCGAGGTTTTGTTACTTACAAGGCACAGCATGGCGATAAAGGTTGTCTCTAATAGTCTGCTGCAAGTCGTGATCCGGCGATCCTTTCTGAAACCTCTGGTTGAGATAATGTCGCAGATCTTTGTTCAGTCTGCTTCCTGCAAAGAAAAAACAGCCATTTATTTATTTCTAAATGCACACAATTAACATTTCCAATTGAGGCAAATGTTAGATTTCCATTCAGAGTCCCCTAAATTATGCCATGCTGACTTTACGAGCGGAGGCTCATCTTCCTCTACAAATGGCTAATTACCAAAAATAACTCGCTGTAAACAAGAGGTCTCTCTTGTCTCATAATGCATCTTTCTTCCTGTGGTGTTAAACAGATCATCATTCCCTTTTATTACTTATTTGTCTGAGCAAATGGAAAAAGACAGATGATGGGAAAAAAGAAAAATAAAAAAAGGTAGAGTATTGCTTTTGGAACTCACTGGAGGGTGAGCTGGGCAGACAGACAGAAGGCAAAAGCTGCTCCCATTGGAGGTACTAATAAAGCTGAACATGGCACAAAATCAAGTAAGTGTTATACTTCGTATTAGTATCTACTATAGCCCACAGCAGGAGTTAGGAAAGAATTGACTGAAGGAGTTAAGAGCACCCAAAGTCCTTAAAAACAACAAAATAGCATCCAATGCTTTTCACTTAAATGTATTTATTCCCCCATTCAGTTTTGAACACTTTCAGAAGTGTGCCAGAATAAGATAAATGAGTTAAAAACAAAACAACAACAACAACAAAAAAGTAGCTGTTAATGATCAATGCCAGTTGCTGAACACCAAATCCTTTCTTGTAACAGCACATATAAGCTGAAGAAACTTAATGAAGTCTTTCCCCCCAAAATATTTCCAAGATGGGAATAGGGAATAACATTGACATTAATTTGACTGAAGAGCAAAAACAGGGATAGAAACTCTTCTGTTCTAAAAAGAAAGAAAAAAACACTGGAAAAGCTCCTGAGAAATGCAACCAGGATGATCAAAGCCAGGAGCAGTTGCAACACAAGGACCAAGACAGTGGGCTGGGATGCTGCAGCCTGTTGTGGACATCAGCCTCCAAAAAGTCCTGAGGTCAGCTGGGGACTGGGCACTTCCTGCCTCTCCCAACACAAGGACTGGGAGACACCAAGGAAAGGTAACGGGAGCCTGGTTCAAAATCGCGCAGCAGGGGCAGTAGTTCACACAGGCTGTGCAGATCCCACTGGAGAGCACTTTCAGTGCAACAAGGTTATTGAGGAGACTCAAGGGGAAATGGAAAAACAGACCCACTGGGAGTTGCAGAATCATAGAATGGTTTGGAGTGGATTTAGAACGGGTTGGAAGGGACCTTAAAGATCATCTTGTTCTCATCCCCTGTTGTGGGCAGGGACACCTTTCCATTAGACCAGGTTGCTCAATGCCCCATCCAACATGGCCTTGAAAAGAAGAGGGTGTAGGAAATCCTTTGAGCTGAAAATTAATTGCTGGTGGCTGGGAAACCTGGGAAAGAAGTGGGAGAATATCAAATATCTTGCTCTTTTCCTTTCCTTTGCCAGGGATCTTAATTATGGCCTCAGCTGAAGCCAAAATGCTGGACTACATGGACCTCAGGCTGAACCACTGCAGCTGTTTCTGTGGTTTTTTATCATTTGCATTATGATTGGTTTTGGATTATTGAGTATGTAATGCAGAGATCATCTCAATGCTTCTGGACACTGAACACAGCACCACAGTTGCAGATTCCTGGCTGGAGCCTCTAGGAATCACTGCAGAGCAAATCAAGAATAATAATACTGCAATGGAGCGCAGTTGGACGGTGGGTCTGGGATCTGGCAGCAGCACCAGGCAAATGGTGACATGAGCGAGGGGAAACTGTTACACACCCATGGACAGGATCAGCCTACCCACCTACTGCAGCCCTGCAACACTTTAACATAAACGTTGGTTTAAAAACAAAACTAAACACAAAAAAAACCCCCTCTGTAGTCTGCAGCACTAAGTCAAATTTTAAAAATAACTACGTGATTTGTATTTAGGTTCTCCTGACAGCTTTTTTGTTTAATTAAATCTCTTATTGAAGAAAGGAAAGCTCGGGCAGCTATTAACAGAAGGAAAATTTTTAAAGACCAAGATGCTCATTACAGAAATGGCTCAAACAACAAAACTGAAATTAAGGGAGATATAATTGGCTCAACACACTTTCCTGAGTGACCCCAGCAACATCCCTCACTCCAAGAGCAGATTATCAACCCATTTTCTAACTAAAGGTCTCCAGTTATTACACCATAAAACTGGTTTCCCACATAGGAGGCACCTGAAGGGTTTCGTAGACCTGTGGGCTACAGTTTTTCAATATCAGAGCTGACTTTCCAAACCTCAGATGTTTAATTTCATATCACATTGTTTTACTTCAGAGGGAGACTGGGCACAACAAAAAGAGCACCTGCTGAAATAATAAAGCAGTTCTTTATCTTTTAACTAAACAGTCCATATTTTTCTTTGCACAAGGTGGTTTTTCCTAGCAAAAATGGACAAATATGACAGTTTGGACATAATGCAAGGGTTTATTCCAGTGGAGAAATTAATGCACTGAACTGCATGTATCATATAACGTAAACTTTCTCCCAAAATACTGTGTGATCCCTGATTCAATGATTTATGGCAAAATAATATCTTGAGGTGAAAAAGCTCTGCTGAGCTAGGGCTTGTTTGACCACAAAAATATGCAATTTACTGATGATATCTGCTTTTAGCTTCCCTCTGTGCCCATTCCATCTAGCATCTCAGTCTATTATGGCCCTGCTGGAAAGTTTGGTTATTTGGTTTATGCAGTAGCTGGGATTTCCCAGCTGAGTCACTGAAGCACTAGTTTAGAAGGCAGTTGCAAAAACAGGGGCTGTAGAAATACTTGCACTCACATGAGTGTCCCCTCAGGGAGCTCACAGTGATGCTTATTTCTATTACATTTATTTTAAGTGGTAAGGAAAAAAAAAAAAAAAAAAAAAAGAAGAGGGGGAAAAAAACCCCAACCCCAAAAAAGCTTGCTAAGCTACATTCCTGTTGCTAAATTCCGGAAAAGTCTTGACAGGAATAAAGGCTTCTTGCAGCCCTGACAATCTCTGTTCTGCAGTGGCTGAAACCACAGCTGTGGGCACAAGCAGGTTCACCCCACTCAGCTCACTCCACTGCATGGTAGAAGAAAACGAGCTGACACAGAAACTAACTCTATGTAGAAAGCTGCCAAAGGGATCCAGCCTGGAACATGTTGGATTCTTTACCATTTCAAATGTTTCACTCCACTCTGATCTTTCCCAAGAATCTCCTCAAAGCCAAGAGGGCATGTGCTTGGTACTGGCATTATTTAGTAGATTCTAGTGGTAGACGCAAGTTTATGAACTCTGATATACTCTGAGCCTGAAATGTATGCACCCATAATCCCTGAGAACCTGAAAAATATGCCAGTGACATTTCAGCAACCTCCTCTGTGCAAATCATAGCAGCAAAATTCATTCTGATCCTCAAGGGCACCGCTGGCTTGTGCAAACTCACCCTGAGAAGAAGCCTCACCCTCTGATGGTTTCTGTCCAGACACCAGCCACCACCAGGTTGGGTGGATGGGCAGATGCCCAGAACCTCCTGTCTTTATGCAAAAGTCCTCCCTTTGTAAAATCTAAATCCACATGTAAGTTGTGCTCAAGAAAATACCTGGTACCAGTTTCCTTAGAGATGAGCCGTGTTAACCAGAAGTATATACTGCCCTTCAAAATACTCCTGTGTTCTCATGGAGACTGGATTTTACATTTACTCTTTTGAGATCCATTCTTCTCTGCTAAAAAGCATGTGAAGAGGTCCAACAGTGATAATAATGGAGGAACAAGAGAGACAACCCAAAACCAGCAGTTTTCCAAAGCAGAGGATACAGGTCTGAAGACCCACTGCTCAGCTCTTCCTTCCTGCTGGCCAGGAGACGCTGGAAATCACTTATTTGCACCCAGAAAAATCACTTTGTTATTTCCATAATCAAAATTAGGCTGATACATGTAGCTTTAGAAAATGAAACATACAAAAAAAAATGCAACACTCATCAAAATTTACAAACTTCCATAAGTAAAACATGTTCAAAGGTTTTTGTTGCTCTTGCAACAGTTTCTTTCCCCTTTTTTTCCCCACTGTAAAAATACAGTCAGAGAACCAGCTTTTCCATTGCTTCTCTCCCCATAGTACTACTCCAAATTTGAGAAGTTTCCATTTTATTATGTGAATCCTTCCCTATCTTTGAATGAAACAAAGAGCAACTCACTGAATGGCTGTTTTTCTCAGTTACTCTTAATTATTATACTGTATTTTAGAGAACAACAATCATCCTCCCCCACCACTACATCGCAACAACAATATTTTAGTAGTAAAAGGAAACTCAAGAGGGAAACATCTGTCACCGAAAAAAAAATATTTACTGACATATGGTTTTCTGAGAAACAATAAACCCTCCTTGTCAGTTTTGTGTAGCTCAAAATGTACCTTAGATGGTTTTGTGATTAATGAAATATATTGACTTTTTCTAAACACATTCTTTTCAAACTCGCAATTCTGTCACACATTTGTCCTCCAACAGTTACCTGATATGAAGTCACTAGAGAAGCTGTGCTCTGACACTCTGACACTGCTACAATTCCCACTTTCTGCAGGAAGAAAGCTGCACGTGGGATCACCCAGCACCGTCTTTGCTCTGTGAGAACATCCTCCCTTCGAGAGCAATCCCACCACCGAGCAGCAGCACAGACCCGGGGGCTGAAAGCCTCTTGCCTTATTGACATCTTGGCTTGCAATAAGGAGAGCAGACTGCATAAGTGACCAAGCAAAACCTGAATTTTTTTTTCCCAAGAAAAAGCTGAGTGTGAACATCGCAAGGCTGCCAGCACCTTCCTGCCAGCTGGTGGAGAGACTATGCCAGAACTGCGCAATGTGTGTATTCTGAAGATATATTTTAAACTCATGTTTTATGCCTTTGGAAAGTATCATTTCATAGTTTATATTAATTACTGCAGCTGTTTTATCCCATTTATGTTTAGAGATGGTCGTAGATAATCCTGATAAAGAGCCATACTCTGACAGAGCCTATAGAT